ATGGAGAAAAATAGATATTATTTTCGGATTTAGCGTACAGGAATTACTGCAGAACATGTAAAAATTTTGAGACAATAAAACCATCGCAGGCCTGTGTTATTAGTCTAAGTTATATATATATATATATCATAACAATCTTTGAGGAATACCAACGAATTTCTCCCAAAATATAAAGAAATAATTTCTACTAGTTAAAATAATCCAAAAGTGCATTCCTTTTGCTTTTGAATAAAAAAAATGTAACGAAAAGTTCGCAAACACGGAAGTCCGTAAAGAAACGAAGACATATCTCGCGTATGTGAAAGATAAAATTATTTATAAAACATAATAATATATATAATATGACTTTAGAATTTGACATGTAAGTTCGGGTTGAAGCGTTTCATATTAATCTACAACATGTTTTTGAAAAATGGATACTCGATAAATATTTCGATTTCTTTTATCACAATCTCTGTTTTGATAAGAATTTCAAATACAATGATTGCTGTCCTCTGCTACAGATATAACATTAATAAAATAATTTATATGAGACAACAAATTGACTATACTATTGCATAGAAGTTCTATTGTAGAAGCTTTTGTTAATTTTTGAGAGGGCGATTTTAACTCGTGGAGTATATGAATTTTGTTTTCTTTGAATTTAAGCAAGTGGATGTTTGGGTTTTATTTAAATTACAGCGATTCGTAGTTTTGAGTTTTACTTAAGACTACACAGACTAGTAGCGCTTAGAGTTCTTAGAACTTCAATTTTAAACTTTAGCTGTTGGTTGTTTTGAATTGAAATATAAAAATTAATATAACTTTGTTGTGTATTTTCTACAAAACTTCTCTGACACCCTGTTTTCACTTGAGCTATCTTTAATATTATTAAAGGTTTAACACTGTGAAAACACACATAAACTATGTTTCTTATAACACTGAACGTATACTATACTAAACAAGCGGAAAAAAACCTTAAACTTAAAGTTACAGAAAGCAAATAAGAAGCAGAAAAATATGTTGTCTTTCTTCTCCATTTTTTACCTCTACAAACCCCGTAATAAGCAGCTTGAATAACATGTCCGCTAAAGCAAGAGGTCCGACGAAGTTCGCAGTAGCTGCTATAGGTGGCGTTGTCAGAGCCACAGACGTATTGAGACCTGTATCGCAAGCGGCAGATCTTGTTGCAGCTGACACAATAAGGATGACGGTTTTGGTCCTCAACACATGACTTCTTTCCAGGACACCTAACGTTCTTACACCCGTTGTCTAAGATACATAATCACATCATACCATGAACAAAATAAACATGTAACTGTGTAGTTTCTAAATTCACGAAAGATACATATATATTTACAATGATTCTTTTTTTTTAGGATACAATGGCATCACAAGTACGAACATACACTCAAAATTTGAAATTGATGTTAACCTTTACAAAGCAATTTAGTTTATGAATTTAATATATACACACATACATACATGTGCACATACCTAAAAAGGATGCATCACGAACAAAAACGAACCCCAGTAAGAAAACTCTTGGCGACGCTTATGCAACAGGATTAGTAAAAATTAAACAAGATTAGTAAAGATCAAACAGAATTAGTAAATATCAAATTTCTTATCCAAATTTATTTTCCATAAGTTCTATTATGTTGTTTTTAATACCTGACCCATAACTGTTTAATTCTTTTGATGCTCTGAACTATATTTTATATTTCTTTTTGTTTTCAGATTCAATCATACAATACATTGTTTCAGAAATATGCATTGCTTATATGAGGAGTTCCTAAACTGTGGAGTGAAAAACCCCCGAGGAGCTGCAGTATATACAAAAATATTCCATCCCAAATTACCCTGGCATCTGAAAAGTGTCCATTCTAACAGTATGTACTATTATAACATTCTTTAAGGATGGTTGTAAAGAGGACACAATAGGCAATACCAATCTAAGTGAAAAGTTACTCCATTACACTCAGTTCATTCAGAATGTCTAAAACTGCACATGTTATGACGAGGACTTGATGATGAACACGTTATGTTGAAATTAATATCCACATAAGCTTTCAAAATAAACTGGATACTACTCACATTCACATTACTAAATTGAAATATATTTGTACGTCACAATTATATGTGTGTAAACTCCTTTTTAATAACTGTTTTCACCTTTTTATATAATATAAGATAGACATACTCTCATTTCAACCTTTCAGTCTGTAAGTACCGTATCGAACTGGCTGTAAGTATGTAGGTGTGAACAAACAGCCACAGCCTTCTGAAGTGTATTTATTTACAACAGCATAAATACTGGCCAGAACGTGACTTTACAATATGGCGTTTGCCTGGTCAGTATGGTGTAGTCTACACGGTATGGTATTTGCCCATTCACAATGTATTGAGAAACGGAACTGCTGGCCATTCAGTACATTTCAATATTTTATGGCTGCGCTAAGGATATTGGTTTCGATGTTAACTTGCAAGTAGATATGACGGCTCGTAGAATCTATTATTTGACGAGGAACCCACTTTGAGACTAATAATGGCTGGAGACGGCTTAAATGGGTAATGAAGAAAACTTTAATATAACAGTAAATGTACAACGTTGATGATGACAAAACCTTGTCGAAACGTTGTACATTTA